CGTTAGAAATTTCTCGAATCTTACCTGTCACCACACCTTCAGTACCTTTTTTTTTTTCGGATATCAGCGACACCATTAACAGCGTTTACCAGACAAAATACAAATGCAGTTCTGTAGCGGCACTTTCCACCTCCTTTTTTCTTCTTCCCATTCCCATTTAAGTCTCCCTTTTCTCCGGCCCAATTTTCTTTTCTGCCGGTAAAAGAAAAAAAAACAAAAATTGACAAAAAAAAAGTCAAATTAGTTCACATTTTCTACTCATCTTATATATATACAGACATTTCCTCTCGCAGATATGCATCTATAAGCACCTAGGAAAAGTTTTTTTTTTAAGGTAAGCCAACAACTGTAAATCGGTCTTCCAAATTTCCCTATCTTCTTGCCACTCTTACACAGGAACAACTGAACACGTCTGTATGTTTGCCGTATGTACATTGCTTATGACTGCACTATCGACGCGTCAGTCACATTCAGAATTCTGGTTCTTTCAACTGACTACATGCTCGCTTAACGCCGCCACTACTCAAGCCTAATCTTCTGCACTATGAGCACTGGCACTTAACTGCTCGCAAGCAGCAAAGAAAAACGAAAGACAGCGAAGTGTCAACAGTGCGACGTGATGGTATACGTATGGAGAGCATACAGACGCCGTGCACCATCATCATTCCTTTCGCGATAAACAACAGCAAACAAGCAGTTCAGAACTTTTTGCGCAATGTACAGAATTTGTTTATTTTTGCGCCAAAACTTAGTTTGAAATCCTACTTTTGGCATGTTTCCAGTGTAGGTTTGAATAAATTGGATCGGATAAGTTAAGGAATAATGCAGGGGCATGTCCATCAGACGGGTAGGTGGATGTGGTAGGTTGAAACTTAGGACTGGATCCAGATTGTTAATGGAAAACAACTTATACGACACTGGAATTTATCTTACAGGAAGGTGGTAAGACATGAGGCGAAATAAGTGTGTTCAGTAAATGATGGAACGGGGCACACTGACTCATGGTCCGGTTGAATTACTTAGTTATAGTATTTGCGGTTCTGCCGGTCTGGTGCTTGTTATCACTTGTGTGCGCTTTGGCTACGGTGTCGCATAAAATTTTTGTGTGTTTTTTTCAATTATCTTCAACCGAATTTCATGAGACTGTCAATTACCAATCGCTGCTGTCACTGACAGAAGAGTTCTCTTCTTAAATCTTATTGTGTAACATGACATCTAGATAATTATGCCCTACCGTTTTAAACTTGAATACGGCAAAATCGAAAGCTGCTTCCAAGCTAATTTTACCAGTTGCAGACATGACTATCGTTATATGGACAGCACTGGAATATTAATTGTCATATACAAGGTTTCTCGACAGCTTGACGTAGTTTCTGCATCGATAATTGAGTAGCTACAGAAATCAGCACAGGAACTAACCAAACGGATGTCACGGTAATAATGTCCTATATTCCCTACTGGTTTAAAAAAACACTAAATCAGGCGAATGCAGAAACAGCGTCATATCTCCAACAAAGCAAATTTGAGAATTACATTAAAAGAATTAAAGTCTTTCACTTCAATAGAAGAAGAATATCACGAAAAATCATTGTTGGTACTGTAAAAGTCACGTGAGAAGTTATGAATTTGAAAAGAAAAAGCAAGTGTGGGGAGAATGAAATTTCCTAAACAGGGGGGAAAATTCTGGAGAACTTGCCTGAAAAGGTCGGAAAAAGCATTTAGAAGTTTTATTGTTTTTGGAAAATCGATTTAATCTGTTACTAGATGAGTATTCCCGGGTTGGAGAGCTAAAATTTTTTTCTTCTTAGAACGGAAATGCATACTTTGATCTGGAACTATAAGTTAGACTGTGCTACTACAGTAGCAGCCAAGAAAATTTCATTTATGCTCCTTTTGTAAATTCAGTGTTATTTTCGCTTATAAATGAATCTTATTATTGATCCGCTATTCTCCTGCCAGCTTTTAATTACGTTGTCTCATTATTCGCCTTGAAAGTTTTGTGACCAATCAAGTAGGTATTCTATGCATTATTTAACTGGCATGATAATGGTTTTTTGTCTTCAAGTTTCTTGCAGTTTCTGCATAGTTCAAAAACTTCCAGTCATCGAAAGTTGGAATTTTCACATTTTCTTTGTTTTGAGAAGTAACTTTAAGTTTTTATAAATTTCTTTTCTCAGTGTCTGTTCTACTGAAACAATCTGAATTTGACTGATTGGTATTAATTACACTTTAAAGTGTATTTTTTTGAAAAGAAAAGGTCATCCGTATATTCTGTCCAAAAAAAACGGGTCACACATATTTATCCAGAAGTAGATTTTTAAAAACTTAAGACAATATAAGAATAGTAAGTCTTGTGGATTAACCAGAATCGTGTTTTTAAGTTGAGCGATTACGTATTATATATAGCTGTTTACCAGCAGTCATTGATTAAATCAATCCTCTTATTTATTTCTAAGCAGAATGCAGGGTTGTACGCTATTAATGCTGCAAAAAATATATTTTTTCAGTATTCCTGCTCACCACTTTAAATATAATTGCCAAGTTAATTATAATACTTCTTTCTATTTTATTAGTTAAAACTCTTTCTGCAACTTTCTGGTTTAATTAAGAGCATTTCTAAACTGGTGCTTTTATTGTTTAATGTGTTCCTCTGCAAATATTTAATAATTTCTTTCACTAAGTTTGGTAATTCACTGTTTAATAGAGATTATGGGCTTAAAAACTTCCTGCAAGAACTTTATTATCAAGGCTTTTTTTTGTACCTCTCTGAGAAGGCTTTTTAAAATTGGAGCTACAGTTTTGATGTGACGTTGTAGTCTTCGAGTAAAAGGTTACTGTTTAGACTTTTCAGAAATTGCTCAACTTTCTGTGTAATTCAGATCTCGCCTTCTGCTAAAGAATTGAGAGCATTTTTCATTCTTACTTTCTTTAGAAGGATTTTCTGTATTTTTTTGAACTCTTTTTATCAATTGGGTACCAGAATAGTGCTGATGTAAGTTTTTGATTGTTAGACATCATCTGAAAGTTAAATGGGAGAAGCGGATTGAGGTCTTAGCTACTGTTAGAAAGCATCTCTAACTATAGCTGGTCTATCTTTTTTACTTTGCTTGAAAAAGTGCACAGTTATAATCTATAATTTAAAGTCTTCTTAAAAACTTTGGCATCGCGAACCTCAAGTTGAAATCAAAAAGTTTATCAGTGGTAATAAATGACTGCAGGTATTGTGTTGCATAATACAAATGAAGCTTCTGACAAAATGGAGAGGAGTTGTGCAGAAGTCAACATTTATTATTTCTAGCATTATGTTTTCTGTGGTCTTTTACCTCATTTTTATACTCTTATCAGTCAATTGAGAGTCTATTTCTAACTCTCATAGGCGGCTTAACCGTTAAGTTCTTTATTGGAAGGATAACGATTTTGAGGAGTGTTATAGAGGAAAGAAGAGGTTGTTGGTGGTCTGCAAAATGTTACAATAGAAAAAGGTCATATATTAAAAGCTGCCTGAGGAATTTGAAGAAGTTACATAACTTATATTACGTTTTGTTATTTGAGCCCTCTTTTCCATTTCCTTAGATGTTTTTGAACAACCTCTGCACCCTATTTCTTGAAAAGCGCCATTTAGAATGTTTTCTGCTTACGTTGCTGGTTTTGTCTTGCTTCTCAAATCTTAGAAAAGTTTAGATGTACCTTGTCTTATTTTTAGACAGAAATAAGTTTTGACGATTTTGTTAAGTAGTTGCTGCTTACTGGTACTGAGTACCACTTATTAAGATAATAATAAAAATTTAGAGGTTACTTTCAAAATCAATTAAGGGTATGAAAACATTTAAAATTGATTTTTATAGAGCAATCTGAGAGGTTGAATTTTACAGTGAATTTCAAAAAGGCAACAAGAGTTTTGCAAAACTCTGGAGATTTATTAGTCACTGAAATTTTTGGAGAGTAAAAGTGCCAAAAGGCAAAAGGATTTGAAAGAAATGGAAAAACGCAGGCTAATTCAAACTTTTTTTTATGGCGATGCTTTTCGCAAGTGCTCTTGATTAATTTGTTTTTGTTTTATTGTCAAAAGAAGAAACACGTACATATATACGTAAAAATGTATATATAAATATAAATGAATAAATGTGTATATATAATACAGATACTTGACATATTTTACCAACATCATATTTTTCACACTGATATTAGGATGGGTTACCTAGTTTTGCAGACACCATCTTTTTTATTATGTTCAGGGGAGAAAGAAAGTTAGTGGTAAAATTGCAGTAGACTTTTGTTCAGTACCGTCTGCGTCAACTAGGTCACGTATTTAAGTAGATTTATATTCATTTAATTCTTGGGTTTTTTGCAGGAGTTTTTTCAAAATGGATCATGAAAGCTGTTTTTCAAGCAAATTCGATGCAAAAACCACTTTAAACAACGATTATGTATCAGAGAATCTCGCCTCATTTAGCGTACCGTATTTTGAAACAATTGATGACTTTGAAAAACATCTACTGGAAACAAATGAGACACTTTGCGCAGAGCTGCGGTCGCTTGATTTACAGAATATTAAAAGAACGAAGCTTTTGACTGGTAAGAAAAGGTCAGTGCGTGCTGTTTTTAGTTATCATTCCTAGTTTTGACATGGAAGGAATTTACCTTTTCAGTTGTAAATCCTTGTGTAGTTGAAATTCTAGTACTGAGTTTTGTGGTACTAAATTTTTGTATGAATTTAGGCGTAGTTTTAGATGTTTCATCAAAAACCAAATGGAATTTTGTTTCTTGTTTTGCAGAGAAGAACAGCTGAAAGAGTTATGTGCCCGAAGAACAAACCAATCTTTGTCAACAGAGGTAACAGGTGGCGTTGAAAAAAAGGAACATTTGCTACGGAATCCAGTACTGCCATGTATTGAATCATCCGTTGCCCCCCGCCAAGTACTAGAAAAACTTAAGGTTTTATTTCGTGTTCCTTTTTTTATGACGTCATTTGCACTCGCTACTAATGCTCTTTTTGGACAGTGGAATCCGTAGTCGTACATAGCTGAACAGTTTTCACTGTTTCTAGAATAGTAGCATGTTTTTTTGCTTACTTTAAAACGGAGGCTCTGAATTTAGCAGTTTTTTTGACTGAAAATTTACTGTTCAAAGTTGCTTTCATGAGAGAACGTTTTCTTTCAGAAATGATAACGATCTTTTGTGCAAAAAGCCTCGTTATTGTCACTCAAAATAAGAAACCTAGTTTGATTTTTTTCATCGCAATTTTTAAGACTACTGCTTTACATTAATGGAAAATTTTCATGTGTTGTGGGAACAACAGTGACTGATTTATTAAGACTTACTCATTTCACGATAATCTGTTAGCTTAAAGAAAAAACGTCCCACAAACGACGTCCTAAGCAAAATGAAAACTATGGAAGGTCCTTTGGCAAAGCTTCGTGAATGGGTCAGGAATCGTCAGCGAATTAGGATTGTTCTTCGAGGACGTGGGGCACCGAATGCCATTATAACTGCAGTGGTCATTGCATTTGACAAACATTGGAATCTTATTTTTCGGTCAATTTTTAGATGCATCTAATATCTAATGCTCTGCTACTCAAGCAGTGTTTAGCCTTCTGATTGTCATTTGGAGGATCGGTTTGTTAAAGAACTGAATAAATCCTTTACAAAACTTATAAAGCCATCTTCGTAGCAGTAATTTCTTCCAAAAACAGGTAGTGTTAGGAATAAGGGGGTTTTTTTTAGGGATGGTAACGAGATGTTTTTACCACCTGCTAAGCTGGCAAAGGAAATCTCTGAAAACGACCTCAAGAAGCTAGATAAGAACTACAAGAAAATGGAAGGAACAGTGGCCGAGACTTCATTTGGCATTGTCGGAAAATCTAGAAAACTATATTCAAGACATTTGATATGCTCGATGATTAGAGGAGAAAACATAGTTGTTATACAGCAAGCTTGACTGCTATAAATTTATGACTCTCTTGTTCTCCAGAAGTTTTAACGTAGTAATTGCATTCCAAGTATCAGGTAAATCCAGAAATTGACGAAATTTACATAATTCAGCAAAAGAATGTATTACAAATGAGATTTTTCACTGGTTAGCAGGCCTCTTGATGGGATTGAATTTTCTTATTCAGCTTCAGAGTACCCGTTCAAATGTCAAGACAGGGTCGTTCTACCACAAACCGCGCTTGTTTTGGTAGATCATTATGCAGTTGATGGTTTGCCATAATGTTTTTGGCTGATTCATTTGTGCTTTAAATCACTGCCACGGATATTGTTCTTTTCTGATTGCACCTAATAGTCATTCCGCGCAAATCTTCTTTTCGTGCATTTGAACAGGTTGTCCTAAGCTTGGTAAATTTTTTTTTTTTGAGAGGTAATGTTCTAAAGTTTGAGTAATACAGGGTGGTTTCTAGTGGGAAACGTGGTTGATCTTTTTTTTTTGGTGATGGGAGTAGTGTTTATTTCGTTTGTTATTTTTTCCCGTTTGAGATGCTGTGAAAGTATTGCGAACTGTGTGCGGGTCAAACTGAAGAATAGCTTTCGGTTAGTTGCTTTTTAACAGTATCATAGACCAGTTATTCTGGAAGGTCGCAGTCTGCAACGAAACTGGGACTTATTACAATACGTCATATTTTATTGATATGATGAAAACATTTATGTTGATGTAGGACGTCGGTTATTCTTTCTTTTCTTACTGGTTGTTACTCTATATGCTTATCGGTTTTGTGGATCTTGTTATTTTTTTTTTTTT